GCTCCTTTTCATTTCATTTGTTTGACAGAGGGACACCCAAACCTGGGTAAATACTGCCCAGAAACCAGCAGCCACGACAGCACAAGCCCAGATGGCAGAGCTGTAGGAGCCAGAGGACACCAGGAGAGATGATCGCTCTTCCAGAGGTCTCCAGCCTCACCTCCTCTCCACCCAAACCTTCCTGCCAAGGCAATAAACCATCTCCAAAATCCTCGTCCACCAGGAAACACGGGTCATGCTTCTGTCCCCACCAACATCCACCACCAGCTCAGACTCCCACCGGAGCGAGTCATCCCATGTGGAGAGAGGGACTGGCATGGGACTCCCACATTTGCCATCTCATCATCTTGCCGAGCAGCATGAAGGAGAAACCCTGGCCAAATTGTCCTGAAACCCAAAGCTGCTGGTGAAAGCACCAACCCAACTGCCCTGGTAGATCCCTTCCCTATGGCCACGGCTGGTTTTTTAATTCTACTTTTTTTTCTTCTGGCTGTCTTCTGCCTGCAAGGACGTCATCGCTCCCAAAATGCCCTTTTTCCAAAGGAAAAGGCTTTTGAAAGGCATCCGGCAGGGTCAGGTGTCTCCATCCTCCACCCTGGGGAGAAGATGCCCATGCCATGGGGGACCCCCATCACAGCACTGCCAGCAACACCGGCCGAAACCACAGCCCCCTCCCACCCCGAGCCCCAACCAGGAGTGCTTGAACCCAACAGAGAATCGTAGAATCACGCTGAGCTGAGAGGAGCCAACTGGGAAAAACAGATTTTGCGGGATTTGTCCTCTTCTCTGGACCATTGTTGGAGGTTTCGGTGCCTGTTGGCCAGCGTGGCCGCGAGGAGAGAGCCCTTCCGAGGGCATCTGCCCTTTCTCCAGCCCTCCCAGGGTGATGGGCTGCCATGGAGCATCCCCCTGGGAGGGAGAAGGCTGCAGACCCATCCCGGTACCACCTTCTTCATCTACGGCACGAGAGCTACAGACCTCAGCCGAGGGCTCCCAGCATGCCGACAGCCCACGGGGACCCTGATAGACAAAAAAAAAAATCAATTCCAAATCACTGAAGCTGGTGGTGGGCTGGAGGCAGCTCCTGCAGCTCCAACCCCAGAAAGCACCTCAGGAGACCGTTTCATCCACCCCTCATCCCATCCACGCCGTCTCCTCTGAAACAGGGTAGGGTTTTTTTGGCCATAACCCCCCATTTGAAGCACCTCCGTTCCCCAACTGACTGCAGCTTTCCAGGAGAAGGCTGTTCCCTGTATGCACAAAACGTGGGAGCCCAAAAAAAAGTCTGCAAGAAACTATCGCGTCCCGCCATGCCCCCATGGCAGCATTGGATGAGCGCCCGGGCATTGGGGACGAGCTTCCCACCGTGCCCACCGTGGGTTTACCTCCACCCCGGGGCAGCTGGGACATGCATAATTCAGGGGCAAGAGGAGCAAAGGATGCCCCGTCCAGCAAAAAAACCCACCTAGTAAAGCTACAACTCCCCGGGGACCACCCAGACCCCATCCCACGAGTGCGGTCCCAGCAGAGATGTCACCATTCAAAACAGTGCAGAGACTTGCGAAATGCCCTTAAAAAAAGAAAAAAAAAAAAATAAGAAAAACAAAGTAAGTATTTATTTCTATAAAGAAAAGAAGGAAAAAAAAAGATTTTAAAGGAAAATTATATACTCAGCATGTTTATACACTCTATGCTTAAAGACTATCGTGTTAGAGAGTCGTGTCCGAAGACTGAAGGTTTGCTGCCTGCCCGTGCCCGGCCCCTTGCCCGGCTCCTCCGGGCCATGGTCAAGGCGAGGACGGGGTGATGGAAAGCTGGGGGAGACGTCGAGGACTCTTGGAGAAACCTTCTGCGCTCACCAGCGAGGCCGGAGCGGCTGCTGGTGCCGTCGGTGGCGTGGAACGTGGATGGGTGTGCGACGTCCCCGTCCCCCCGCTGCCGCGTGGGTTTTGTAGGTAACGGCAGGACGACCTCACCCGAATTTGGTGCTTCGGTGTGTCGCTCAGACCAGACCAGACCAAACCAAACCATCACCTCCCCTCGGGGCATTCCCGAAAAGTCCAACTTCTGGCTTAGCAAAGCCATGTTTTTACAGAAAAATCCTGTGGCTGATCCAAGACCTTGAGCAGGTTCAAGGATGAGAAGACGGAAAGTGGGGTTTTTTTCCCCTATTTTGTCCCTTCCTCCTCCTCCTCTTCGGCTAGGGATGAAGGTGGCTAGCACAGTGACACAAGCTTGGGGGGAACGAGAGCCCTGCATATCTCTGGCCCTCCCAGTGGCTCTTAATTGCCCAGGTTGTTAATGGTAACGAGCTCATTAACAGCTCCATACTTCTTCCACTGAAATGTCATATTGACGGTTTCCCTGCTGTTTTCCTTCCCCATCCCCGTTGGCTCCCCGGCAAACCCCCATCGCCCACCCCCATCCCTGCGGGATGCTCGAGCGACGCTGCCCGTGGCCGTAGGATTCGCCGCGGCCGTCGCAGGGTTTCAGCCCCGTTTCCTCTGGAAACGATGGAGATGCACAGAAATACCAAATCCTTTGGGCAAAGCTTGAAATCCCACAGGGTATTCGGGGCAGGGACTGCTGCGGCGTGAGCTCAACCCCGTACCAGACCCTAGAGAAGCCCCGGAGGGGCTCTGCGATGACAATCCCCAGCAAAAGCCGCCCAACCCAGGGTGAGCATCAGCGCTGTGCAGCTTTCGCTTGGGGTCATGGTGATGACCAGATCTGGCAGGAGCTGGATGGACGGTGCTGCCGGTCCCTACCAGTCCTGGTTCCCACAGGACCAGTTTTGGGGGGATTTATTCCTTTTCTAGTGAGTTTTCCCCAAATTTTCCCATGGCCAATGTTCATGGCATTCCCCTTTGCTTGGATCTGGGTGCCGGTCAGGGAACTCAAGAGGAACACCCCCAGAAAAGCCAGCTCGGGGGCCAAATTTCTCCCCAAATCCATTATTTTCTCTCCCTTGTGTTGAATTTTGCTCATCATCCATCGCTCCGAGCCCCCAGGAGCTGGGGATGCTCCAGGGACCGGCTGCCTCCTGCCTTCATCCCTGCACCCCAGCCTGGGGGGGCCCAGGGGTGTAAGGTCTCGAGGAAAACGGGAACCCCCAGGTTGGCTCTGTCCAAGGAGGTTTTTAAACCTCTTTATCAAGCAAAGGCAAGAAAAAAAATATCCCCCCTCTTGCCGTGTGTCGGGGTCCCAGCTGCCACCCAAGGCACAGCCACGGCCGGGTCTTGGACAGCTTGTTTGGATCCTTCAAAAGGCTCCAAATTTGGTTAAAACAGAACAAAAAAAAACCCCATGAAATGCTGATAAAGGCTCTTAAAGCGGTTGAACACCATTTTCTCTCGGCTCTTAGGAGAGCCCATCCCAGGAGCTGGCGCATCGCTTCAAGCCTCTCATTTTGGGTTGAAAAACTCACAGGTTGGGCTGGAGCAAAAACCTTTGGGAATCGGTGCCAAATGACAAAATGCTTTAAAAAAGAAAAAAATAAAAAGGAAAGAAAAACAAAACAAAACAAAAAAATAAAAACAAGGAGCGGGGAGATTTTAGCAACCGGAGATGGTTTGTTGCGACCAAAGCATCGCAGGGCGTTGTTGCAAGGTGAGCGGTGGCGATGCACGACCTTCCCCATCGGCGGGAGGCAAAATAATCCCCCGCAGCGGGCGAAACGCTCCCTCCTCCCCCAAAGAAAAGCTGCTGGACGTCCTTCCCCAGCGCACAGCAGCAAGGAGAGGAGGGAAAACTTCCCAAAAGCAGGAGAAAAAAAGGAGATTTTTCTGATCCAGCCTCGGAATTGAGCCCCGTGGAGGAGCGGAGGGGGGGACACGAGGCAGGCTAGGGCCGGGGACAAGTGGGTGCAATGGTGCGGGGTGGCTTTTGGGAAGGGAGCGTGGTACGGCACACTTGCTTAGAGATAATCAGAGGACGCGCTCCCCGCGGGGAGAGACGTATAGACAGAGATATATAGGAATCGCAATCGTTTCCCTAAAGCACTTCACGGTGACGTTTGCTTCGGCGCAAGCTCAGCCCCGGTGAGCGATTTCCGCGGGGCCCTGTACAGCGACCTCCCCCCTCCCGAAAGGTAGCGAGTTTGCCTCCTAAGTTATTTTTTTAAATCTATATAAATTTAGGTCTATTTTAGTCTTTCGCAGCAATGTGCCAGTGTCTGGAGAACCAAACGTCCCCTTTTTCCCTCCCCACCCCGCGGTCCCTTGATGCTAAACCAGGTCCTCGATGCTAAATGTGCCGGAGGATGCTGCCCTGGAGAAGGGGGGAGCGGTGGGG